AATGCGGAAAGAAATGCGAAATTTTGAGATGTGCTCATAGCGATATCATCGTGGCCGGATGGTCTAGGGGTATGATTCTCGCTTCGGGTGCGAGAGGTCCCGGGTTCGAATCCCGGTTCGGCCCATACATTTTACAATAACATATTTGCTAAGGGCATTGCTAGTTGTTAGTTTGTTGTTAGTTTGTTTGTAAGGAGTGACCAGAAAACACAAGCAATGTTTTGTGCGCATTCTCGCGTTCCCCCTCACTTTGCCTCTACCCTACGTTTTGAGGAATGAGCTGAGTTTCTTCGCAAAATCGTGTAAATTTCTAGACGCATCAGAGCATCGTTTGCGCCCTGTTGCCCTGAACACTGTTGAATTGCTATTTGCGTTGCTGAAATCAGAAAAAAGGCGTGAGCGAAATGGCCCTTTTTTATTTTCTCTTGCAGATTCAGAAAGATCTTGCATAATATGCCTTGGGAACTCTATTCTAGATATCATGCACTATGCTATCTACAATCTCTCAACAGTAGATTGATTTAGCTCCAACCAAGATTGTTATGAAAACTTTATTCGGCTGACGTTTCGGCGTCGTCGCCGTCTTCAGAGCCTGGAAAGTCAGAAGACATTTTCGATACTACTCATCCAACACTATTTCAACCTACAGAAAATTCAAAATAGCAGCAACTGATTATACAACTACAGAAAAAAATTATACAAAAGGGAGTCGAAAACTACTGTGGTGACCAGTCAACGAGAACAATAACTGTCACTAAAGACTCCATTAATTAGAACATCGTGAACGTATGCACAGTAGTTTGCGACCCATTTTGAACTATTTCATGTGGGTTTTGAGAATAGGTCAGAATGAGTAGTGCTCTGAAACAAATGCCATCTTCTGACTTTCCAGGCTTGAGAAAAAAGGCTAAATACGACGCCGAAAAGCGTCAGCCGAATAAAGTTTTCATAGGAATCTATGGTTGGAAGTAAATCAAGATCTATCGACAGTCGCACTTGGACACTCTCAACTGTAAGTACACGGTGGCACACACTGGGGTGAAAGCTTTTTTTTCTTGGAGTTTCTGGCGCTCTACATCATGTGGGTTGGGTCATTTCCTGTCATTGTTCCTGAATGTAGCTCACCACAAAACAAAAGAAAAGGAAAAGGTGAAACGTCACCTCGTTTCGCAAATATTGACGAGTTGCAATACGCCGTTCCGACAGATGATGTTCAGAAGGTTGCGAACTGAAAAGAACCATTAGTCAAGGGGACCATTCCATTATTATCCGAAAAAGGAAGGCTCTATCCTTACTCCCAGGACTGCTTCAACAGCAGTCTCGATCACCCCTAGCGGAATGATCTTCAAAAACTGAAAATGAAAACTCAAATGAAAACTCATTCTTCTAAAAGAGTGAGCATCAAATGCTCATTTCACTGGTGAAAAATTGTCGCTGTCTCGGCTTTCAGTGGGAATCGGTGCAAGTACATCTCCTAGAGGACCCCTATTTAATTCTGCTCGACTAATTCCCGAATAGATTGGGATCTAGGGCCAGCGTCAAGTATACAGGAATCCGAACAAATGAACTCCGTCCTTACGAAGGCCTGAAATTATCTTATCCATGTCTGCGTAACTGGTCGCGGTATGTACAGGGAAGGGGGGGGGGCAAAAAAAAGTCACTTTTCTTCATTGACTTTCGTGGCGCTATAAGTTACACTTTATAAATTCTAATCGGACATTTCTACCACCATATTAAAGAGCATATAAATACTATTATAAAACTCCGCCACAGCCTTCTGGACGAGCGCCATCGAGAGATTCTGGCACGCGACCGCGATGTGGTGCCTGAGATCAGCGAGATAGTCGATTTCTCCGCCACCGTAGACCACCCTATTGAACTCCGCCCGAACCGGGTAATTGAAGGGATTCAGGTCAGGTGACCTACTTGGATATTCCATCTTCTTTAGGTACCCAGCCCCTTCCATTCCAAGTAGGCGAGAGTTTCTCCAACGCCCTTCGATTCCACGTGGTGGCACCCAATGCTGTAGCAGTACAAAGTTTCCAAGAAGGTAGGGGCGGCGACATGTGGGGAGGATATTCTTCTCGAGTTGCTCGATGTGACCGCCAGCGACTGGAGATGACCTCATATTTTGGTGTACATGAAGGTGATGGGCGAGGGCCAGCTCCTGCTTAGGAACATCTTGGGTATCTTCCGCCCTGGTACTCGTATCCACGTCTTCTCTGGGCTGCGAAAACTTTGCTGATATGTGACTCGGTCGAAGTGACTTTTTTGGCCCCCTGTAGATGATAACGTAATGGGAGGTGGAAATAATTGGCGCGTCTACAACTCGTGCAGTCTTGGGTTCAAATCCCGGAATACCTCCCCCCAGGTCAAACCAGCCTTCTACTCTCGGGCACGGTAACTTGGAACCAGATCTGTCTGGGAGGATAACTAATTTGTATAGCGGCTGGCCCCCGCAGGTCGTTCTGTTGGCTACGTCGCACTCAATAAGTCCTTACAATTCTGAATGAAAGTAGAACGCATGCCGCATTCCACAAGAAGACTGAGCAAAGGCAGAGACTTTATACTTTTATTCACACTGTGAACTGGCCTGTAGCGACTAACCAAATTTTTTTCACGCAGGACCCAAAATGAAAAATTATTCGTCAATTTGAAGGTTCTCTCGAGCCCTCTAATCTGAGGAGACTTCAATTTACAGCAATTTTGGTTCGAAATTCAGTTGCTTACGCATCAGTGCTTTTCATAAAATCGTCTCACGCGTCTGGGAGCCATGGTAGATGCTCTGCCTTGGCTATCTTATAAATAGACAAAATGTATCTTTTCTGCATATACCGTACCAGTAACCACTTGCTGATTTTTCAGATGTTTTCCATTCTGGCTGAGTAGAATTCTGTGCTAATTGCTCCTCTGATTCAGGGTTTATATAATTCAGGTTGAGGAGGCATAAACAGTTCTCAGCGATTCTGAGATGACAATGTCGAGATTTGTTCTGACTAATGAACCGAATCATCACAGAAAACGCTCCTAATATTTTGCGCGTTTGCTATTTCACTTACGCATCTTGTTGATGGGCTTCAAAAGAATTCTCGTAAGCCAGCGCTACTGTATTTTCTATCTTTTTCTAACTTGAAAGTATTATGTTCCGCTTTTCCTTCCGTACCCCATAGCCTTTTTACAACCAGAAATTTCCTTTGAACATGAAAAAATTTCTTCTGCTGGATCTTTATTGTCATGCTTAAAATTATTCCCAACGCTGTAGGATGTAACTATTCAAGGTACATCATGGTGGTCGGACGAATAATCGCATCTGTATGAGCCCTGCTAAAAGATCGGTTGCCTTCCATTCTGTGCGAGCGTTATATTTTTGAGCTCCCTCCATACCAGTGTGCAACTGCGAATAATCCTGCACTATCCAAAGAAAATCGCAAAAGTACATGGGGAGCCAACACTTTCTTCTGGGGAGTTCCCTTACTATTAGAGAGCGCAAAGCGGATTAATAGAGAGCGACTTGTAGATCGAGAGGGCCATCAGATAATCAAAAGACATCATGATTTTCCACAAAGCATGAGGACGCGTACCATGTATTTCCGTTCAATGTGAGAAGGGACGCAAGGTTAAGGAGGGAAAATAGCGGACGAGAGTAGAGGGCGGTCAAAGACGTTCGCCATCTATTACCTTTGCTACTCCAATATCAGGCTCCACTTTCCTGACCGACTTTTTTCGATGGGCGCAGTTTTGCTCAGCATGTTGATCTCGCGGGTAGTTTGAGCTCCAAAATAACTAACATCACCATTCGCTCAAGCCGAAACTTCCTTGCGGCGCCGCGCCACAGGCGCCACTGATTTGGGGTAATTTTGCGCCGGTGCCCGTGGTGCGGGCGCCAGAGGTTTCGGGTCACTAGCAGTGGGCTGGCTAATAAGTAATGGCCGTTTTTTTCAATCGAAAAATTTGTTCCAAAAGTAAAACGTTTTGCAAGCAAGCTTAATATCGTTTAATAGCAAACTTCTCGTAGTATTAGAATATCAAATTCAAATTCAATTAATTCAACTATTAGCATGAAATTTCAGGTGGAACAGACGTGAGCCTGCCCAATATTGGCAAGGTGAAGGTTGCCAACTTTGAAATTCTTGAAATTAGTTCCAAAGCGTCCTATTGAGATTCCCTTGCTGAGACTTCTACCTCAACCTTTTCCGAATGTATGGAGCAGCTTAAGCGATTTTAGCACTTCGAGTAGACGTAAATAGAGGCAGTTGTCGAAGATGCTAATTTTCGCCGACTTCACTTCCAACTTCAACGACTAAAAAATTCACAAAAACTATATCCTCAACCAAAGCTTTTTTGATATTCTTATACTACGAGAAGTTTCCTATCAGATGATATATAACTTGCTTGCAAAACGTTTCACTTTTCGAACAAATTTTTCAATTGAAAAAAACGGCCATTACTTATTAGCCAACCTAATATTTATTCGATACAGCTTAACATTTCGACTGAATCGTCGTCTTCAGAGTCCGAGGTTCCACCTTATAGCGACAGTGTCCGCTACCACACAAGAGCGAGACTTAGTAGTTACTAACTAAATTCTTTATCGCGATACTATCGCGTACTTATAACACTTTCGTATTTGACTACATCTGTAAGCACAAAGTTGTGCCCTCGATACAGCGAATTTTTCTGGAAATGTTACCATTCTTCGTTGGGGTCGTCGTGAGAGGTTCTTCCCGATGAGGTAAAGTGAGGAATCGCCGACCTGTGTGCATGTGTCATTTTTTTCACGCAAGTAGCATACAAAAATCAGGACGGTAAAAACTCGTCGCACGTCTCTAATCCCGCTTTGTTCATTCGTTTTATTTGCAGAAAAATGCCGCTCGGTGTAGCACAGACTGTAGCCGAAGGCGTACTTTTGAGTGGCTATGTTTTCCTCCTAATCATTATCGTTACATCTAAAGTACATGTGTTGAAAACTGCGTTCTATACAGTATTTGTCGCAACAGGTAAGACATGACCTAATAATAAAAGTGGCGCTACGTCATCGCACCGAGTTGTAGCTATTTTTGGTTATACTTCACCTATTGTCGCCTATCTACGGTATAAAATTCTCCTGTAACTTGTGCTTCCGAAGCTCGATGTCACCGGTTTTGCCTGCGCTGAATGACGATTTTCTTGTCACACACCCTCAGGACCTACTCCCTTCTCAAGGAAGGGATTGTAGAGAAAAGGTGCACGATTCGATTGTTACCCATCGTTCCTTATTCATAGTGGAGCTCTAGAGGAAGCTGGCAGTAGAGTTATGGTTAGTGAAGCTCGTCATTATCAACTGTTGCATTTGCAACATTCTCTGTATATTAAGTGCAAATATGAAGAACAAAAAATGGGTTCATTGTAATGAGGGAGAGACGTTTCTGCGACTGCATGATGATGCAAATTATTCTTTGCAGGAGTTGCGGACGTCCTTGCTATAATGGTGAGCTGCTTCAGTCGGCTTAACCGTCAACTTGGTCTTGGTCCAGAATTCAAGGGCATTATGCCATTTACAATTATGATGAGTGGAACGACGTTTCTCACTCATATGATAGGAAACATGCTCCTTACAATCAATCGATACTCTGCACTTTGCTTTCTGAAGAAGTATGACAAGGTATGTGAGCTCATTGATTTCACCTAAAAACGTCCGAATCAAGGTGTTCCTTTCAAAGATATGGACTCGAAGAAATGTATGGATTATGATAGTTGCACAGTACGTAGTGGCGTTTGCTGCATACTCTCATATGATCGGAGCGGAAGTGCTGTATAAACAAGGAGATGATGGAGCTTACACATTCGCTGGAGTAGATTCCGGTAGCAGTTGGGTATGACTGAACTGATTCCTTCCAGACCGAACTTGAGCAGTTCCTCTCGTTAATCAAAGGATTACAATTTGTTCAACATTTGATTCAGCTTGAAACCTGAAGTCCTGCTTTATTTTCAAATGCTCTAAAAGTTTCATGAGTCATTGTGCATGTGGTGAGAGCACAAAAGGCCGGACTGGATCACCGTTAGTTATGCCACACTAGTTACAGGGAGTAGTCTGTTTTATGCCACACTGGTTTCTGGGAGGAGTCTGTTTCTGCTCCAACGACACGCTACGCTACTTACAAGGGAATGGTTTGAACTTCCCATGGAACTTTGAATGGAGACCTAGGTACATCGATAGAGCCTCGAATGCTGATTACGAATATGCAGATTAAAAGTGCTACGGGGACCTCCCAGACGAGTTCTGGGCGGTCAAAGTTTGCGAAAACTCGGTTTTGGCTCGTAAGCGCTGCTGATCGATCACGGACAGTGCACCGTGGCCTAGTGGTAACGGTCTCGCTTCAAAGCCAAATAAATGCTCATAGGTTTGCATCCCGTTGGCGCGAAAACTTTTGCTTCGTCTCCTATAAGGGCTTTTATTATAAATTCGAAATATTCGAGTTTACGGCTCATTGGAGCAAGTAAATCAAGCATATGACCTACTCGATCGAGTATGGATCTGATCACTATCTGCTATCTCTGAACACATTACCCATTCAACAGTTCGAAGTTTTGGCCAAAAACTCCATATTTCCGCGGGTCTTTTGACCCCCTGAACATGAACACCACACGAGAGAACTCTTATAGCCTTCACGTTGTTGTGGTCATCAACTGAACGAGTGAGCAATCATTTTCACGTCAAACGGATGTAGTATTCGTGCTCAGCAGGTCATACCCCAGAAACGAGTTTCTGGCCAAATTGTGATTCTGGCCAAAACTTCGTGGGTCCGGATGAGTTCAAAGAGGACAGATAGTGATCAAATCCATACTTGATCGAGTAGGTCATATGCTTGATCTACTGGATCTGTTTGCTCCTGGCAACTTGTCGCGTATAAGGCGTAAGCGAGGCCGCGCGAGGAGAGAATTGTTCTCCCGGCCTAGTCATTTGAATTTGAATCAAAGGGAAGAGTAAGGGCGTTATCGAACGCGCCAGCCTTTATCGGTTCTGACTGGTTTTTTCATGCTTCATAATGTTTAGCGCAATCTACAGCGTAGGAAATGCCAAAAAACACGTGAAATATGTGCGGAAATATGAAAAAAATATCCAGGAATTTTCGCGTTTTGCTGCTCCAGTTTCGATTTCTCGCGCTCACGGCTAGATGGTGCGACGTGCGCGGCAGCGCGGCGAATTACGATACTCTTGATCGTCCCTCTAGATGTAAAGATTGCTGTTTCTAGGCGAGCAAGCAGTTTGCTCTTGGTGGCAGTAGTTGCGCCATGTTCGAGGCTCAAAAGTGAAAGAAGAGGGAACCCTACTTACATACCTACGTTGACCCTGCCCACCGCTCTAACCGGCCATAAGACCGGAGAACGCGCGAATGAACTCAGGCGGGACATTGTTGTGAATAAGCGATCGCCTGTGATAGGTTTGGGCGAAAATATAGACCAGCACCAGTGTCCGGTGATATTCACCCTTTGCTTCCCTCTGTTCGTACAAATGTCCCGGATAAGGTGAGTTTTCGGGGTATTTTTGCTCCAAGGTTAACTTTCCTGTTATTTTTGCATCCCTGTCCCCTACTAAGAATACCTGATCGCGGGCTGCGCTCTCAAGTTCCGGGTTTTCCAGTACCGTAAAGGCATAGGGCGCTGTACTTTGGTGCTCGGTCTAAAATGGTAGCTGGGGTACTGAGTAGTGCAAAAATTGCGAAAAAGTGACGTGAAACGGTCGAAAACTTGCGAAAAAGCCTTCGTTCTACACAGCTTAAGAAGCGGTTTCGGAAAAGTTTCTCTCTGGCATCTTGCCAGTGACCGCTACGGTAGATACGACTGCGTGTATGTACTCACCAGTCTGGCTGACGCGCATACTGCGCGCATGGTTAAACCTATGGTACTGATAACTGACAGGATTTCTGTGCTGACACCTAACAGTTAGCCTAATTCCCATGTTTCGAAAACGGCCCATTTCATCATGTTTCTCCCTTTTAATGAAATATACAAATGTTTGGTGCTCATCATATTTCTGAAAGCACCATTCGTTGGAAATAGGACAGCATAGCGGTTAGAAGAATTCCGATGGTAAAAATGTCGAAATCGTAGTGGCTCTTATCATTTATCTCTGGCCAACAATCCTCTTTTTGCTGAAACTCGAGCGTTTAGCGGTGGAAACAATTCCAACCGTTAAACTGAGGTTTTTGCCAAGGGATAGAAACATCTTGACTCACTAAGCCTTCGCCCATTGATTCTTTGGCCATGGTGATGTGAGCATATACGGACTCCCAAAAGCCTGTTCCCTAAGCACCTCTGAATTACTTGCTGGAGCAGTTCCCCAGTGTTGCTACAACTCTGCTGTGAATTTTCGAGGCTATCTTATCAGCTGTTATCACTTCCTGCCACCCACCAATAATGTTCCCATCCTGCCCCTATCTTACTTCTTGGAACCAACGTCCCATCGTCGCTGTGGCCGATGTTATGAAATCTGTGAGCTCCTCTCTAAGGCTCCTTATATTATCTTATCAGCTGTTATCACGTCCTGCCACCCACCAATAATGTTCCCATCCTGCCCCCTATCTTACTTCTTGGAACCAACGTCCCGTCGTTGCTCTGGCCGGTGTTATGAATTAGGTAACCCACCCCTTCTAAGGCTCCTTATGGTATCTTATCAGCTCTTATCACTTCCTGCCACCTACCAATAGTGTTCCTGCCCGACCCCTACATCACTTATCAGTTTGAGCGCTCTATCGCTGTTTTGAAGGAAGTTATGAATTTCCGGTCAAACACACATACAGACAGACAAACAAACATTCACACACACACACACCATACCAACAGACAAACTTAGCGGATTATATATAGTAGGATGTTTCCATGCAGCATTGCACGCAGCCTCATATCAATCCCTTCGCATCATATTGTACCTCGCAAATGAAGCGATACAAGCATCAGCATCGGTAGAACATTTGTGGGCGGGCGTTTCCTTTGAAAATGCGCCACGCAGCTCCCGCTTGGGGAGGCTTGAGATCTGTCCTGTCAAGTGTACAAACCCTGCACGTCTTGAGGAAAATCGTGCCACCCGCCTTTAGGGGTCAGAGAACACTGGAACTGCTAGATTGCAAGCCAATTCGAGAATGAAATCTAACAGTATGGTACCCAGACTGTGCTACAAAAGGGAAACTCGCGCTCTTACGACGAGACTAACCGGGGATCAATTGAACATAGTGGAAGTGGAGTGGAGCTTATGTATTAGGTTGTCCGGGAAGTTCTCAGCGTTTTGTGTTACTATTTGTACATTCATTGCTGATTAAAAACTCATTCTCCCTTGCGTCTCAGTAGTACATCCTGAAGAGAATTTTTGCGCTATCTGATGGTATAATTGCCACCATTGCTTGATAAACCCCCTTTTCCCAAGACTTTTTGAAGCATGTCAAAAGAGCAACTTCGGACGATATTTTTCTTCAACTACAAATTGGGTCAATCCGCAGTCGAGACAGCTCGACAAATTAACCAGGTGTGGGGGCCCAATAGTGTTGGAGAAAGCACCGTGCGACAATGGTTCGACAAATTTCGTTCTGGAGATTTCAGCCTTGAAGATGAACCTCGTAGCGGTCGACCTAAAGCAATATCTGACGAGGATTTGAAGGCGTTTTGGAGGCTGACCCATCCCAAACAGTTCGAGAGATAGCAGAAGAGCTAGGCCTTGGCAAATCCACTGTTGCAGATGGTCTGGAACGCATTGGGAAGGTGCAGATGGTCTGGAATGCATTGGGTGAAAAAACTCGACAATTGGGTGCCCCACAATCGGAGTGACCGGCAGGAATCGGCACGTCTCGAGGTTCCTTCTTCACTGCTTTTGCGCAACAGAAACGACCCGTTTTTGGACCGAATTGTCACCTGTGATGAAAAGTGGATCATGTATGATAACAGGAGACGTTCCGGACAGTGGTTGGATGCCGACGAACCACCGAGGCAATTTCCAAAGCCGAATCCTCACGAAAAAAAGATTATGGTCACAGTGTGGTGGTCATCGGCTGGTGTGATCCACTATAACTTTTTGTCACCAGGCCAAACCATCACAGCAGAGTCCTACTGTGAAGAAATCGACGAAATGTACCGAAAATTGCGTCAGCTGCAGCCAGCACTTGTCAACAGAAAGGGTCCGATTCTTTTGCATGACAACGCCCGCCCACACGTTTCACAAATCACTATCCATAAATTGAACGAATTGGGGGTTGAAGTTCTACCTCAACCGCCATATTCTCCAGACCTTTCACCAACCGACTATCACCTTTTCAAACATTTTCAGAACTTCCTTGCTGGAAAATACTTCATCAATCAGGACCAGGCAAAAAAGCCTTCGTGGATTTCGTGGATTCTCGACCACCCAGTTTTTTCTTTGATGGGATTTATCGACTGGTGTCACATTGGCAAAAGTGTGCTGATTCGAATGGTGCTTATTTCGATTTAAATCCGATGAGTATTAAGAAAGTTATGATCGTTTAAAGTGAAACACTCAAAACGCTGAGAACTTTCCGGACAACCTAATATTACTTATGTGTTATCGCCGCTATACTAGCAAATGTAATTTACTTTGTAGGGCACCGGTCACCTTTTCGCACCAAAGAGGAGTCTACTGCGGAATCGCTACGTTTTGGAGGTGTCATGGACATGAAATAGAGAGGGGAAGAGAAAAAGGGGTTGTTTAACAATTGTCCATCGCCAGCATATCCAGGTTAACCGTGCTAGGAGCCTACAGGAAGACCTCATGCTTTTCGAAAAACGAAATGAACTTAAAACATTGGCAGCTAGTGAAAAAAGAGGAGGAGGCCCAACACTAGTTGGCGCCAGATAAGCCGTATTGCTCAAAAAATGGGGGTAGAACCGAAAACAGTGCTGGGTTTTCCATCGCCCTAAATTTGTCGTGTTTGAAGCACAATAAGATGAAAGGCGACACGCTAACTCCCTGAAAACGACATATGGAACTAATGAATATTATTCAGAATCTGATTACAGAGAGCCCGATCTATCTATTGTGGAGCTTCCCTTGTTTACTCTATCATGAGTGTCGGTTTTAATGTTAGACTCTTTGTTGAATGGCGCAGATTATCGATATTTTCCGGCAACTCAAGACTTAGTGGCCACGAAAAGGTTCGCTATATATTGTTCTATTTTACTCACAAAATATGTTTAATGGTGCTTTGTATGTAGCTCTTTGACGATGTTTATTGGATAGCACATGGCATCAAGAACTTTTCATATTGTCTTGGACCACTGCAATAATGTGCCAGAACATAAACAGTCACATCCAAGAAATGTGTACATTCCATCAAAAATACAAGAGAGTGGAGAAAGCAAGTATTTGGGGTAGCACGTTAGGTGGGAAATGTAAACCTAGTCCATTCTCAGGAGAGGAGATATGGGAGCACTTATGGCTTAGTACGGAGTAATATCCGCACCTGCACGATTCTCCGTCCTAGTGCCTCAAATCCTTGGGCAAAAACTTGCATTGAAGAGCACAGGTCCCTTGTTCTCACACTAGAACAGTTGCAGCTGAGATAAGTAGTATTTCAGATTCCAAGTGCCTGTCATTTAGCATTCGCAACATTTAACTCGTAACCGTATCATGGGAACCATGTGAACTAGTTTAGGGTCTCCTATGTTATACGGCCCTGGTGTTCGTCTCCACCATGCTGATGTGCTTGCAGCAAGTCGTGAAGGGAATAGCTATTGTCTATGGCTACACCGATCTCGATCTATGGGTGACTATGCAAGTACGTTTTCTTTCCTCCTTAGCTGCGTAATCCGTCATTTTGAAAACTACAACTGAGCTTTCCCATTATTCATTGTGTTACAATGTAATAAAAAGGAGAACAACCTTGTTTTCAGGAGGATAGTGATGTCGTTGTTGCTTTTACCAGCGCTACATTAGAGCTGGTATCGTGGCAATCCCTCCTAACAGCGTCCCAACTGATTGTGATTTCGCAAAAAGCTACAATTAATCGCTAGCTGGTAAAAACGGCTGTCTAGTATTTCAAGCGAGGCTATTCGGTCACATTGGAATTACAGTCCTCATCATTGCGGACCGGTGGGGCGTGTCAGCCAGTATGAGTGTGCACACTGTTGAAGCCGTTCTCAGCCTTTTTGTTGAAACGCGTATGCGACAAAAAGTGGTAGAAAACGAGTAATACGAAGGATATAATACAGTAATGTCACTTGCCCGCTTCAACAACTGGTGCAGAACGACTTTGGCCCCGCGCCAAACGCACTGAACCGCCCCGACAGTACGTAATGATGAGGACTGTAACTATTAATGCATTCCTTGGAACATACTAAAAAATGGTGATTCACTCCGAGTCCGAGAAACATCAGCCTTGCAGTTTGTCCCCGTCGTCGGAATCCTGAGAGGGAAGGGTAAGAATGCTGCTCTTAGGATGGGCACGTATAACAGATATCAACAGTGAATGCCATAGTGAAGTTCTCGCTGAATCAAAAGTCGATAACAACTGGACGGAGTGCTACTATTACTACTACTACTTAGTACTAGTAGTAGTAGAAACAGTAAGTGTGATAGTAGTAAGATTAGCATGATACCTTCCGTCCATGATACCTTATGTGTAGATACAGGCCGCAAGCTTGTGGCTATCTGACTACGCACGTGTTCCTTATACTTGCAATCACTCTCTCGATGCCACAACTTCGCTTGAAGCTAGATTAGGTACGACTGCCTGTGATGGATTCGCGAAATCTGCTTGTCGGATTGCTCCTCCTCAACGTTTATGACGTTCATCGTTCGGTTTCCTAACCATGAGAGCTTTGTCTCATAGATTTTTGATACTACAGAAGGCTAATGCCGTTTGGACTCCAGAAATTTCGGCACCGAGCTCATTTTTAAATTGCCTAAGTCACCAAATCCGCTAAAAACTTGTATATAGGGGTAGTTTAACATCCTGATCACGAATATGACATTCATTTTTGGCGCTGGCGCTAATGGATGACACTACGATTATCTGCGCTCTGCTAAGGCTGAGCCCAGGAGGTAATCGTAGTGTCCTCTCTTGGCGCCAGCGACAAGAGTGAATGTCATATTCGTAATCAGGATGTTAAACTACCCCTATATACAAGTTTTTAGCGGATTTGGTGACTTAGGCAATTTAAAAATGGGCTCGGTGCCGAAATTTCTGGTTCCAAACGGCAGCCCTACAGAAGATATCTTTTTGGACGTGCGGCGATGCGCAAGATATTCTTAACGTGCACCATTTTGTCGATTGGAGCAATGAAACACATACGAGCTCAAGCAGAGACGAGATGTCACGACAGGCGATGTGGAATTTTCCAAATACTTTCCATTCAACTTCAAATGGTTAGGGGAAACTCGCTGTCGGAAGCGCCATGCCGAATAGCGCGGCATATTACGGTTGTCCTGTTCTCATACCTCTGCAGGCTAGCATGAGTCACAAATCTTTGGGAAGTCTATGAATTCATGTTTATTCACATTTACCAGTAATTCTATTTTAGTTCTTCTGGATAAACGATGTAATGATAAGTGTGCCGCCCGCTTCTCTGCTGATGCTTTCTACGGATCTTCGCCGTGATATATTCGATTTTCTTCGTTGTTCAAGGCATGGAGTCAACACTGCGGCGTCCGTCACCGTTTTCAACAAGCGAAAAACCGTTCATGTTGAATACTGAGAAGATGATTGCAAAGTTTTTGCCGTTATCGCACTTTCATTTTAATGTTCTTCTCAGGATAAAATCTCCTTCGATCCTTTTCAAGCAGACAGCAATATAAAGGGTGGTGTAAGGGCGTATCCCTCGTGATCAAGTTATGATTCTGTGGACAAGGAAAGGCACAAATGACGGTGATATCTTCGAAATATAGCGATGCATGACCAGCGCAAAAGAAGCCTGGAGCTGTCCACGCCTCCTCAGCACGGAAGGCACCCGCTGCTTATGGTGAAGAACGACGGTCCCTGTCGTCTTTGTGTTTTCTTGCCCTTCGTCTGTTTTCACTCCTAAATGTTCGAGGTTTTTTCACTGCACACTTGTAAGATGTTTGAGATCATTCGCAAAAGAAAGCTTTATTTAAACAAAGACCGCACGCTTGACCAATGCGTGAACGCCCCTCCCTGTCCAGATAGTCCAGTACGCAAACTCAGATGCTGTCCCACTCCAAGTAGCTGAAGAAGGTGCTGCAGTTTTCCTGAGCACAAGAACGAGCAGGGGCTAAATTGCACCGCCCACGCGGAAACGTCCTCTTTAAATCTGAAGGCCCTTGCTGTTAGCCAGCAAACAGTTCATTGTAGAAGGGTAGCACCTACCATCGAGGGGGTCGTACTTGCCGCTGGGGAGGGGAGATTTCGTAAACGCAGGGCCGGTAAGCACAGAAGTGCCATTGCTAAGTATGATGGAGCAGACGGAAAGCTCCAGAGGACCCGGATGTAAGAAAGACTACAAAATATTGAAACAATTGAGTAGCAATATCAACACTTAGCATGGATACGTAGATGACTAAATAATATATTCCAGAAGATTCGTGCATATCGATCTTTCCAAATCTTAAACAAACATCTGCTTGCATGGACAAAAATCACCTAAAATCAGAAGTTACACCTTTCCACCACCTCTGCGTAGAAGCGTAGTGCACGGCGCACACGCGGACCGACACGATCGCTGGTAACCAAGCACAATTCCACTCATTTGCACGAGAATATGTGTTTTGGAGTCAGAGAGAGGTCCTTCTAAAACATTGGGCCGAACCGGGATTCGAACCCGGGACCTCTCGCACCCGAAGCGAGAATCATACCCCTAGACCATCCGGCCACGTCGATACCGCTATGAGCACATCTCAAAATTTTGCATTTCTTTCCGCATTTCATTTGTGTTCGCGATGATGAATTCCGAAAAAGACATGCAAGCAGTCTGAGTTCAGTGAAAATGCCCTTCTAAAACATTAGGATTCGAACCCGGGACCTCTCGCACCCGAAGCGAGAATCATACCCGAAGCGAGAATCATACCCCTAGACCATCCGGCCGCGATAATATCGCCACTAACACATCTCAAAATTTCGCACTTCTTCCAATGCTCATTGTGTTAAGATGATTAATTCCGAATAAAAAATGCTAGTAAGTATCCCAGGTGTCGTAAGCTTTTGCTGTTCACACCTAGAATTCATCACACAGAAGCAAGGAACACTCAAAAAAAGTTCACGACCGCATACTTCACATTTTCCATCTCTATTGCGACTCATAGTGCTTACTGAACAGGATGTGACCTATTCGATGACTTACATGGCTGTACCTTGTACAATACCGGCTCCAGTATTAGCTAGTCGACCCCCCCCCCTCATCAGATCATCTAAGTTCCAGCCACGGGCCTAGGAACACGCATACCCTACCCATGATCTAACATGATACTTCTGCACTGATGTGGAAATATTCCGCACTGGTGCGGAAATTTCCACATCAGTGCAGAAGTATCATGTTAGATCATGGGTAGGGTATGCGTCCGGCCGCGATAATATCGCCACTAACACATCTCAAAATTTCGCACTTCTTCCAATGCTCATTGTGTTAAGATGATTAATTCCGAATAAAAAATGCTAGTAAGTATCCCAGGTGTCGTAAGCTTTTGCTGTTCACACCTAGAATTCATAACACAGAAGCAAGGAACACTCAAAAAAAGTTCACGACCGCATACTTCACATTTTCCATCTCTATTGCGACTCATAGTGCTTACCGAACAGGATGTGACCTATTCGATGACTTACATGGCTGTACCTTGTACAATACCGGCTCCAGTATTAGCTAGTCGACCCCCCCCTCATCAGATCATCTAAGTTCCAGCCACGGGCCTAGGAACACGCATACCCTACCCATGATCTAACATGATACTTCTGCACTGATGTGGAAATTTCCGCACTGGTGCGGAAATTTCCACATCAGTGCAGAAGTATCATGTTAGATCATGGGTAGGGTATGCGTCCGGCCGCGATAATATCGCCACTAACACATCTCAAAATTTCGCACTTCTTCCAATGCTCATTGTGTTGAGGATGATTAATTCCGAAAAAAAAATGCTAGTAAGTATCCTGTCCTCACTGCAGATGTCCTTTTAAAATGTTGGGCCGAACCGGGATTCGAACCCGGGACCTCTCGCACCCGAAGCGAGAATCATACCCCTAGACCATCCGGCCGCGATAATATCGCCTACTAACACATCTCAAAATTTCGCACTTCTTCCAATGCTCATTGTGTTAAGGATGATTAATTCCGAAAAAAAAATGCTAGTAAGTATCCTGTCCTCACTGCAGATGTCCTTTCAAAATGTTGGGCCGAACCGGGATTCGAACCCGGGACCTCTCGCACCCGAAGCGAGAATCATACCCCTAGACCATCCGGCCGCGGTAATATCGCTATGAACACATTTGAAATTCCGCATTTCTTTCCATGTTCCTTGTGTCAAGGATGATTTATTTAGAAAGAATGCTAGTAAGCATTCTGTCTTTGCTGCACATGTCCTTTTAAAATGTTGGGCCGAACCGGGATTCGAACCCGGGACCTCTCGCACCCGAAGCGAGAATCATACCCCTAGACCATCCGGCCGCGATAATATCGCCTACTGACACATCTCAAAATTTCGCACTTCTTCCAATGCTCATTGTGTTGAGGATGATTAATTCCGAAAAAAGTGCTAGTAAGTATTCTGTCCTCACTGCAGATGTCCTTTTAAAATCTTGGGCCGAACCGGGATTCGAACCCGGGACCTCTCGCACCCGAAGCGAGAATCATACCCCTAGACCATCCGGCCGCGATAATATCGCCACTGACACATCTCAAAATTTCGCACTTCTTCCAATGCTCATTGTGTTGAGGATGATTAATTCCGAAAAAGTGCTAGTAAGTATTCTGTCCTCACTGCAGATGTCCTTTTCAAAACGTGGGCGACCCGGGATTACCGCAACCCGCGGACCTCTCGACCCCAAGCGAGAATGCATACCCCGATGGACCATCGGCCGCGAACAACTATGCGCCAACTAAAACACATGCTCAATTTCGCACTTCTTCCAATGCTCATTGTGTTAAGGATGATCAATTCCGAAAAAAAATGCTAGTAAGTATCCTGTCCTCACTGCAGATGTCCTTTCAAAATGTTGGGCCGAACCGGGATTCGAACCCGGGACCTCTCGCACCCGAAGCGAGAGGGGGGGTAATCATACCCCTAGACCATCCGGCCCCGCGGTAATATCGCTGTGAACACACATTTGAAATTCCGCATTTCTTTCCATGTTCCTTGTGTCAAGGATGATTTATTTAGAAAGAATGCTAGTAAGCATCCTGTCTTTGCTGCAGATGTCCTTTTAAAATGTTGGGCCGAACCGGGATTCGAACCCGGGACCTCTCGCACCCGAAGCGAGAATCATACCCCTAGACCATCCGGCCACGTCGATATCGCTATGAGCACATCTCAAAATTTTGCATTTCTTTCCGCATTCATTGTGTTTGCGGATGATTCATTCCGAAAAAAAATGCATGCAGGCAGTCTCTGCTTATGAATGTCTCTTTAAAACACTGGGCTGGTCCAGGATCCGAGCCCGGGACCGCTGGTATCAAAAGCGGGAAAATGCGTGCGTGCGTTTACGTGAACGACTAAACACTCAAATTCCTTGTTACCCGTTGATCTTACATACATATAGTTTAAATCGTCGCAGTGAGTCGGGGTGGTGTGAGGGAGGCGAAACGAGATCGCCCCTGGCTTCTTTTTCTACCAGTAGTGATCGGTTAGTGATCGGATTTAAGAGGAAAACAACAGTAGGTAAAAAAGTCGCGGGTGGGCTCATTCCGTCCCCTTGACACTGTCCGACTAGACTCGACACGACCCTGTCAACCGTAGAGTCCATTGGGTGACGCTAGCAATTGCAGGTACGAGACTACTTGATGGTCGACGGGATAAAAGAAAAGTGATGCAGCAAGTTAAGATGTCACGTAAAGGCGATGGAGAGGGTGCGTCGGCGGCCTTTCATCTACGGTTGGCGCCGGAATGGACTACTTCAGATGACCTAGAGACTAGTATTGAAAGGTAATCTCAACATCAAGCTTGATACTACCGAGTGGTTCCAAAGTTTTGATGAATCTTGTTTTTCTTTCCACTACTTCCTACTTTATGACCAAGCGTTGATTAGTTTATAAAAATGGTACAAAACTGAATTCAAGCCATCTCCCAGGCTGAGAATGGGAAGTGCTAACACTCAGCTTTTCCCCCACACAAATAAATATTTGGTCATCCGCATCTAATTCTAACTTAACTGCATGCATACTGCAGATGTATTCATTAGGCGAGACTACGTAAGCGTTTTGAAGACGCTGCTAAGTTTGCAAAAGTTTGGAGGTATGGGGAATTGAACCCCAGCCCTCTCCCATGCTAAGGGAGCGCTCTACCACTGAGCTATACCCCCACTGTGACAACAGCGCTGTCCTCCGTTGATGTCCAACGACACAGGTTATGAGCAACTACGAGATATAACATTAGCCCTTCAAAATGAGAAGGGCTTTAGATGATTTTCAGAACGCCAGGCTTTTAGAAAAGAAATCGGCAGACAGAACAATGTTCCGCACACGAAGCAGGAGGTTTGCACAGGTGAGTGATATCAAGCAACAAGTCTTTCTATGAAACCAGCCATTTTCTCCTTGGG